GGGGGGGGGGAGAGGAAGCAAACAAACCCCCTCAAATAAAAAGCCTGTCACTATCCTATGACCCAAAAATTCAACAGCCTCACTATGAAACCATGCAGGAGATGTTATTAGTGACCAAATTACTGATGGTTTATTAACTCTTTTGTTGTGTATCTGTACCAAAAAAAAAGAATTATTGATTAAGTTATTCTGGCTTTTAGTAGAGAAGAGGGCATGCGCTACAGTCTATTCAAAGGTCCTCATCAGAGATTGAGTACAAGGTAAGATCTCTTTTGCAATTAACTTATGCATTTTTAAAGAATCTTTCAGTCCTCAGATGTACCACCAAGTCTGCACAGAAAGAGATGATGTTTAGATACTACTTTCCTGGCCTAATTATTCTGTAGACAGACAATATAGCTCGTTCTCTACTAGCAAGCAAAATCCCCAAGTCATAATCTCTAAGGACTTCAACTTCAAAGAAAAAGCAGAATGGATAAAAATTGGAATTAACAAAGACCCAGACCACAATCCCATTAGACAAACAGCAGCTTATTGTTCAAATAGCACCATAAAAAAACAAAACAATGTAATCACTGTCTGGTAAGATCCTGCTGGACACAATATATAGTCTGGCACTATATGCATCTGATAAATAAGCACAAAGGAATAAATGATGTAAAGCTTTTGCCCAGACCCAAGTTCCCGTACATTTAACAATTCTACAATTTGAAGTAGAAACTGGATTGTTTGCAAAAATAAGATATTCAAAAGGCTTTAGTCAAGTGTTTAGAAAAAAACCCCAAACCCAAACCAATCCCAACTACGTTGCCCTCTTAGGCACACGCTAGAGCATCCGTATTTGGTCTTTGTACCTGCTGTTACCTCACAGCAGGGATGGCAATTTCCTCAATTCAACATGACTTCAGCTCTCAGAGCAGGGACAGGATGCTAAAATTAACTTTTGGTACAGTTATCTCCAAAACAAATTCTACACCCTGCTGTAGGCTGTTTCTTAGATGTTTCTGGGTTGTTTAATGTCATTCCATAGCCATTCCTATCTAGAATTCCATGAGTTCGGGGAGTCACGCAGCCACGCTATGCTAACCTTGTGTTATATCTAGCATAATTACACTATACACCAAATAATGTTAATTGCTGTATAACAGTTACAAATAATCCATTTATAGTTAAATGAGCACCACGCTAATAGGAGACATTTTTAAGGCAAGTTCTTGTGTTTCATGACATCGATGTCTATCAGTGGCCACGTGCCTTGTGGCATACACCTTACAAGCAGTTTAACACAGTGACTTAAGCTGTACGCACGTAGTACGTCTACAGAAGATCAGAAACACAGAATTTTGTGTCTGTGCAAACTCTTGTATCTGATTTTGACTACAACACTTAGGTATAGCATAAGTACAATCATACATTAGTATTTCTCCACCATTTTCTATGTAGACACATTTTTTTGTCCACAAAACTGCTTGTCAAAAACTGCTTACAATTTATTTCTTCTATTTCCTGTTACTCTTGATAACGTATTTCCAATTTTGATGTTTATCAAATGCAAGATGAAGTAGCTTGAATGTTGAATTGAATAACTGAGGCCATGTGATTAAAATACATTCCTACAGACAGCAGAAAGATACATACTGATGTTATTAAAATACTTAAGATTTGAAAGTCTTTTAGATAAAATACCAATTTCCAGCAGAGACCATAATTGTGTCAGCAACATACAGATGAAAGATGAATTTTTTAGGTTAGGATGGATTGTTCTCAGGAAGATAGTAAAACTGAAGACATGACAGAGAATATGGCTAGCCCTGCTAACGAGGGACTAGTTCATCTCTTCCCTCTTTACAGGGTAACCTGGAAGACCTACATGGTCTGGATTTGCCAGAGAACAGACACACCACCAAGTTTTAGCAGAATGATTTGCAGAGAAACCACTGAGTCCATGACACCGTAGAAGCCAGTTCAGGCACAGAAGTTTAAGAAATTTCTTTTATTCAACAACTTTAAGTTTACACATTTTTGGCTGATGATACATACTTAGTTAAAAAGTCCTTCAGCCTAGAAACGTGCATCATTTCCTTCATAGTGGTGTCTCTGCTTCTCAGCTGGACCACTCCATTCTCTAGAGTGGCATCGGTTATCAAGACCGTGAAGAGAACGCTCATCTCATCGTACCTGCAAAGAAAAGAGCACACCTGTTACTGCTTTTGGCGTGCAGAAAATTCAGATAAGTTATGTACAGATGACCATAAGCTGTAAATATTCATTTTTGCACACTGGACATTGTACAGTATAGAAGACACCAGTTTTCTTGTTGACATTCCTTGCTTTCCTGATTACATTTCTTAAATTATTTAGTTACTTTAGTACATAAAAAGAACGTTTAGTGACCTATTACAAGAGTATTTTTGTAGAAGCAGAATATATCTTTCTTCTGTTATTTAATAGCCAGACTTACTTAGAAGACTACTGCACATGAACAAATAGTTGTATTTATTTTGTCTTGGGGAAAAAAATATTCATCAATATGCTCAAGAGCCATTAACATGAGCAGCAATATGCTCCAAATTCACTCCTGATCAACAAATCATATACGAAGCCCTCAACTGGAATAGCAGTTTTTATCTCCACAGCTAATTCCATCACATACGCTCATGGTAATCATTCCAGACATGAAGAACGTTTGAGTTCATGACTAGACATAGTGTGCTATTTGAAATAGTACTTAAGAATTAAACACAGAACCGGTCCAGATGCAAAAACAGGGTGTTAGGGTGGGAAACAGTTCTGTGAGCTATGACTAAGCTTAAGAAATTTATTTTCAATAGAAGAGTCTCTAAAAGGCATTTCACAGCACCAGAGAAACAAAAATGAAATGTGAAAGGCTTATAGTTCATATTTAAATTAAGTGATTAATTGCTCTTTGTAATAAATCAATTGAATCCAAGCTTAGAGTTTGGGATACATGCCTTCAGTCATGTGGTTACTGAACTCAATAACTTTTTACTGAAAGCAGGCATATTTTCGCTAGTCCACAGAAAGTCATCTTTCACCTTCATAGTTTAATTTACAAAAGACTGTTTCTCCTTACTTTGTATAAAGCTGTTCCAGAGATACCTGCACGGTTTCAAGATAACCCGGCCATACAGAAATTCTGTTTTCTGACAGTTCATTGAACAATCCTTGACAAACCTGTGTTTATTTAAAAATAAAAGTTAACACAGACTTTGAGGGTTTGAAATCCTATGCAAAGAAACCATTAAAACTCTAGTATGTGGTCTTAGCATTCCTAGTCAGTGTTAATTTTCTGGCTGAAATAATCTCAAAGCAGTTTATCAATTAAATCTCCATTTCTATTTAAAAACATGCCAGTGTAAGTTTCCTCCCTTCTGAGGGGACTGGCTTCATGATGGACTTAAATAAAAACTTCTAAAAAATCCTTCTGAAGATGTGACCCATGCATTAAGATAATTCTGAAAGATTAACACATTGAGAGGGATTTTGTTATTTATTTTCCTTCATTTTGCATGGAACAAATATCAACTGTATTAATAGTACTAAAAGCAGCGAAGGCATCTACTACCCACCATCTACAGCATACTCCTTTGGCTATGGCTCACAAGCTGCAGAGTGGAAGCACTCTGAAATCTGTACAACCATGAATCTCCGAGAATCAAAGCAGCAGCATGATTTTCCCCAATGTAAAACAGCATCTGAATTGTAACAGAAGGTTACATGGCAAATCAATGCCCAGAATTAAAATACTTTCTTACAGCTTACCTGTCTCAGCTCTGTTGTTGGACCTTTTCCTACATCCAAGGCCACTTTAAGAGGTGCTAAACAAGGATGAAGCTTAAGTACCTAATAATTTTACAAAAAAAGCAGTAGGTTACTAAATGTATTTAGCACGAATTTCTAAACAGACCTAGGAAATATTTTTTTTTTTTCACTGAAATTAAGGTTCTAAACATGCAAAAATTTTCTCATAGCACAAAATCCTGAATTAGAAGCAAGCTGTATTTTATATAACTAGCACACATGCCAGCTAGGTTAGGATGGCACAAATTATTCCATTTTGGCTGAGCCCCAGAAAAGAGATGAAGTTTTGTTAGCAGAACTCCGCAGTCTTTAACGGAGCTGGAGCAATCAGAGATAACAGCAGTTACCATCCAGTCTACTGCCTGTCCTTAAAAACCAAATGGCTGTTTGATTAACAAGTGCTGTCTGAAGGCTAGCACTCAAACTCCAGAAAACCAGGATAAAAGTGGGAATAACGATGGTCCTTGGGGAAATGCCACCTGCGACCCACTTGTCCTACTCTTCTCAGCAACCTTCAAATGCTGCAGGAAGAGACAAACTCTTTTCTCCCACACACAGCAGTTACATTCCAATTCCCCTTAACTCCTTCGCCACTTGCATGGCAAGAGCCTACCTTCTCATCAGATAGAAGGGGAAACAGGAAAGGTGACATCAGAATGAGAGAAAAGTTGCTTATATGGGTGAAAAGGACCACAGAGGCAGTGCCATGGGCCAGCCAGCCTCATGCTGCCAGCAAACAGCATTCTGTCTCTGCCTGTTGGGGAAGGGAATGGAGAGTAGAGATGTTGAAGAGGGAGATGTTTCCATTCTTGAATTTACCACACTGCCTGTGGGTTTTGTACTTTGACCTGCCCCTGCCTACCATATCCATTCTTCCTTACACTTTCTGTAGAAAGTTACCTTTCTCTGTGAATTTTTCTTTTTTGTTAATGGATTCTCAGCTAGCTGTAGAGAATCAAAGAGATATGCTAATGCTCCTCGGTCCAGATTTCCACTCACAGACAGAACATGAGGAATAACATTCTTCCTTCCATCTCGGCCCTGAAGAGTGGGGGAAAAAAAAACAACAACAAACCCCTAAACACAAAGGGATACCTCAAATACTGTCTCAAAGGGCCTTTTGTTTACTTTAAACGTGTAACAAGGCATTGAGCTCAAGCAACCTTGTTACATTTAAAATACTATCACACTTATATTTTGAAGTTACCAGCAATCTTAAAAGTGTTAACAGTAACCAGGCAAGATTGTAACACTGGCAAAAGCAGAAGATCAGAGGAGGATGGGATTATTTTCTTGTCCTGCCTCTCTGATCATGGATTTAAATCTCTGGCCAATACACTTGAAACTCTGCATTTTCTTTTGGAAGTTTGTAAAGTACTTCCAAGTGACCACGAGGACATGTCCCCACACATTGAGAAATCACTACGTAACCCACAGTCTTGTGGATTACCTTACAGCCTTCTGTACAGAAAAAAGCTGCAAAACCCAGGAAAGAGGCAGGATTGTCATGAGGAGGAGAATTGCAATTTACTGGTACAACACCAAGTTACTCTCGTTTTATCTGTTCAGCCCGACTTTTCAAACATTGCCATTTGCTAGCAGAAAGAAGAAACACTACCAGGTTCTTTTTGATGTGAACTTAACAATGCAAAACACAGACTGAGTTTGTCTTGACATCTACTCACAGATACAGGTAAATGCTGCGCAACTGACAACAGCTGTCATGTCACTATAGCTCATTTCTAATTTCAAAGTATTAACTATGCAAAAAAATCTGCCAAGACTACTGTATCTGCTTTTGAAAATGAAGGTCCAACTGCAGAGTATCAGTTGTACTGCTTTTACAACAAAAGAATAAAGACAGTCACATGCTAAGCAACTGGACCAGCAAAGAAACAATTTCTCTCACACGTTATCATCTTTATCAAAAAAGGTTTTTAATAGAGTAAAGCTTACAAGTAGTTTTGAACTATCCCCTGGATACATCTGTAATAGTTCAGTATCACCAAGGTTTTTCAATGTTTCTACTGTTTCTGTTCCCCAGGGAAAGCTGTAATGTAACTTAAATCCTCTTCTTCCTTCTTCATCTTGAAAGTCACTGCTGCTGAAGTTAGATGGGACTACTGCAAACTGAAAATTAAAGATATAAGAGGTGATCACTACTGTGCGTGCTGCATTAACTACAAAAACCAAGTCTGAAATGCAAGCTGAAGTCTATGGTTTTCAGCAAAAGATTTTTATGAATTACAGCCCAAACCTCTTTACTGTTTTACAGCGTTTTGATCTCAAATCAACTACAAACACAAAACAGTTGCCTGTCTGCAAGTCAAACTACTTAACTACTTGTCATAAATAGTTTTTTGGCTTCTCACAAGAAATACATGTACATCAGTGACAAGAATAGGCAAGCAACATAAAACCCATCAGCGTGTCTGTTCCCCCTCTCTGATATAAAGGAGCAGGCCAAGGTTTCCCATGGGAACGCTGGTTTACCTTTCTCCACCACTGGAGCCTCTGGCGTAACCAGTAATCGAGCCACTGTCCTGCAGTTCTGGGAGAGCTAAACCATGCAAGCAAAGACGTGGTCCTTTCGCCTATTCTTTAAACAATAGCAAGGTCAGCAAGTTAACTCCTTCAAAAATAACAGGGAAAAAGCAAGAGACAGTATTCAAAAATAATCCAAAAGTGAAACAAGTGCAAACAGTTGGTTTAAGTACGAAAAAGGATTAATTCCTCCATTACTCTACCTTCTAAGGTTTTCATTTTGTTGTTCACTTTCTGGAATAGAGTGAAAGCATACTCCAATCTGAGCAAGGCCACAAGGCAGTCTTTTGTTCACCAATTCCAAGCAGCTAACATACTGCGCCAAAGCACCTGTCAAAAAACAGTTAATTTTGGTAACCACAGGAAAAAATGTGTTTAATTATACTGAAAGTGAACGCAACACATATGATACACATGCTGTTTATATGTGCAGTCCCACTAACATTAACACTTTGCAGAGATTAGCTCAGCAGTCTGTAGCCTGATTCCTCCAGGTACTTTGGCAACTGCGATTGTAACATGCCTTTCTCCCAATTACAAGGGACAGCACTGAATGCACACTCTGGCATTCATACTGCTCAGGTCCTTGAAAAGGATGCAAACTCACAGCATGCAGACGAAACTTCCCAGCACACTAACACAACTGGAAAACTCCCTTAAACTCAGCTGCTTCGCTTCCAGCAAGAAAAACGCGAGTAGGCTGCCCAGGCACCTGCCTCATCCCTGCAGTGACGGACGAGGGACCTACCGGGAAGCAGGCTCTCCCGGAGCATCCCCGCCGTCCCTAGCGCTTCTTCCAGAGACGGACCGCCCGGCTCCTGGCTACAGCCCCTGCTCTGGAGGGCTCCGCGCAGCGTCTCTGAGTGCAGCAGCCAGAGACCCTGCCCGACC